CCCAAACAAGCATGAGTGAAGGCTGGGTGGATTTCAGGCCCCAGCCATCTTCCTTCCCCAGGGCAGAATGATACATCCACATAGGGCTGCCCGGCCCTGCACCCACACGCAGTAGGACTTCCCCAGGCAAGCCTCCATAAAATCTCAGGTGTGCATCTACCCTGAATAGTTCTCTGATCTCCCAAGCTGATTAGCTAAGAATAGAAGATTTAATGGGAACGCCAAGGAGAGACCTACTCCCAACACCTGTTGCTCCATAGGGGTGATTTCCTCAGAAGGTGAGCTCCTTTGCGTGGGTGCTGGGAGTTAGAACCCAGGAGCTCTGGCGTTCTGCATGCTGTACAGCAATGTAGGTACTCAGTAAATCTTAAATGAAAGTTTTCCTTTTTTTTTTTTTTTTTTAATAATTAGAGGACGAGTGAATTCAAAATCTTGGAATCGCTGAAAACACCAAGTGTAACCAAGGGGTATGGACCTGGGCAGAGTCCCAGGCAGGCTGGCCTGCTTTGGAGGGAATCTGCTTAAAGCAAGGGAACAGTCCTAGATTGCGGCTCACATCCCAGGTCAGTCACCAACCAGTTTGATGGCTGAATGAATCAGTCATTTGGTGATATCTTTAAAGCTCTTACATTTTATGGCTTTACAAGGTCTTGTCCACATGTCTTCTCTCGCTGCTTACATTTTTACATTTCACTCTATGCCCTAGAAAGCTAGCATGAAATGATTCTCAATCACTTAATAGCAAAAATTAATTAACAAATGTAAACCTTTGACTTGCTTGCTAAGATCACTAGACCCTGAAGAAATGACCTCTGGATTTGGAGAGAGAAGAGAGAAGGTACAAAGCTTGATGAGAAGGTAGGATGGGAGCTGGGAACTCACGTCATCCTGGGAACAGTAGGTCTGTTACCAGCACCGTCTGTGGCCAGCAGAGCCCAGTTTCTGCTTTTACCACCCCCCCTCTGCAAGGGTGGGTGGGGCATGTGACCACTGACCTCCTGGGCCAAGGAAGGAAAGTTGACAAAATGCAGAAGGGGACTCTGATCATTACTACTGAAGCCAAAGAGTAACTCATTTATCAATGACTAGGGATGAACAGGCACTTTGTATGTGATTTTACCTCTGTAAACAAGAGCAATTATAATAGCTGCTGTGGCAAAAATGTAGTCTACACAGAAAAGTTATTTTTGTAGTCTTTGGAAACTGTGCTTTCTTAATCTAGCCCCTTTGACACCTTACAGCTGGCCTTGCACAAGAGGCATTTTCTGGGTTTTGGCCTGGGGAGCAATCATTCGTTACTATAAAGAACTCTATCCTGTTGTGTGGCACGGAATGCAACTAGAGGGGCGAGCTATGAGCGCTTAGCATTCCTTCGTCTCCTACCTAGTAGCAATTAGCCTCTTATCCCTTCTCTCTCCAAACACAATGAAACTAAACAGAAAAGTGCCAGGCAGGAAGAAGAGAAGGTTGGAAGTGCAAATGCAGGATGTTGTGTTTGCTAATTCACCTTTCAGTCCAGCGAGCTGAGAAAGTGCTGTCCCAAACCACAGACTCTTACACGGCCTTTCCACCTCATGTAGTCCATACCCATTACTTATGATGAGGACACTGAGGTGGAAAAGGAGGGGACATGGCCCCAAAGCCCCAGAAATCTGGGGACAGTGAGGTTTAGCCCTTAGCTCTCACATTCCACATCTAATAATTTCATAGGGTGTATTTAAGACTTATCCTATGACCTTAAATAATATTGGTCCCAGTTTTTTTTTAATGATATATTTTTTTATATTATCTTAGAAGATAGATTTGTCATAATTATTGGAACTAATAAACATGTAACTAAAAGTCAGTAATAAATACTAATAATTATTGGGAATGTTACCAATCTAACTAATAATAATAATAGACACAGAGACTTAGATTTCTTTTGCTGATCTCTGGGGATAGCGCCATCATAGGAATGGATCAGAATCACTTAAATTTCTACTCATTTCCAAAATCCAGATATCTTTGGGGGACATTTGATATTAATTCAACCCAAATAAAGCAAAAACCTGTGATCTCCAAAAACCAGACTGATAACAGGCAGGCATGTGGACTCAATATATACTGAGCACACATTCACTCCCCACACAGCCCACCTGCATTTAGGATTTGTAATTGCATTGTGAAACAATTCACTACGCCCAAGGGCCTCCACACTGCCAGGTTTCAACCAAGTTGACAGCACATTCTGCTGAACTTACTTTCCCACAATGATTCACCCCAAGAAAGATGATTTCACCCTAACTTTCATTTTCTCCAAGCAGCGTAGGTGGGAGGAGGGAAAGAAAGCAAACTTTGTTTCACAGTAGAAAACCCACTTGTTGGCACCCTTCAAAGAGTACCTAATTCTCGTTTATCCTAAGACATATCAGTTCCCTTCTTCCTCTTTAATTCCCGAAATTATGATCTCTATAAATCAGTACTTAGGAACCCTAAAATGTTGGGTTATGTGCACATTGAAATTTCAGTATGTTAACAATACTCTAAGACAGCCGCCTCACACTGTCCAACACTCACACACATTTGGATGTTTCCTGCCTTATTTACATGGAATCTTAGAGGAAGGGAACAGGGTTTCAGGCTGGCAGAGTGGGGTTTAAGTCTGCTGAAGGCTGCCAGCACTCAAATAGGAATTGGCTACCTGGGAATTTCCTCACTGAATTAAGTAAAAAAAAAAAAAAAAAAAAGCGTTGTTTAAGGGGAGTTGAGACCACAGAATTGATGCCAGGGTCTCCTTTGCATGGAGTTAGCCTTATATGCTAGTTCTAAATGACAGGTCCGTAACCTGGAAGGTTTGGATACACAAACCCCAACACCTCTTTTGTTGGCTTTGAACAGTTTGATTTCGTGAAGCAGAGACTTAGGGCAATTTTCTGATCGTTCGTACTTAGAAAACAAATTTGGCTTGAATTATCCAGAAAGTGGCCCCATTAGAAAGGTGCCCGTTTACTATTAAACCTCTAGAAGCCCAAGTTTGACAGAAGTTCGTCCTTTTAAAATGCCTTAGGGTGAGGCTAATAGAGCTGCCATCAGAATATCTTCAAGTTCTATACGTTTGGTTAGTGGTGTCCAGGTCACTAACCACATTTTTCTTCCCCAGGAACTGAATTCAGGAATCCCTTTGAAAATTATTCTAACCCTGTTTTCTATTCATGAGAATGCTAAGGACACGTCTGGAATCGAAGCAGGCACTGTCTTTTGTTGAGACAGGCCACAGGGTAAACAAAACGCACCCAAGCAGAAGGCAGAGTGTCAATAACCTACAGTTCAGCATTCCCGCAGTTTAGCAACTTAGCTTCCAGTGGGGGCTGTGCCTTCTTGAGATTCTAAGCGCAGAGGCATATGCACAGCAGTTGGGAAGAGAAAGAAGTGAAGGTGAGCTAGAAGCACAGGAGAGGTGAGGAGAGGGCAGGGGTGCCAGAGCCGGGCCAGGTGGAGAGGCAAAGCTGGAAACCTTCAAAGGCCGGCAAGACGACCCGTCTCCGGATGATGGTCTTTGTTAGATGAAAGGCCACCCATGGGGAACCCATGTCCTCAAAAACAAGGGACACTTCAAAGAGTGAAAGATGCACTCTTCTTTCCTTACCAAGCCCAGCAGGTCCTGAGGCTCCCGGGCCTCGGCTCAAAGCCTGCCGCCTAGGAAGGCAGGGCGAGCCTGGACGGGCACAGCCTGGACGGAGCGCGGGCCCACCGCCCACCGCCGCTCGCGCTTGTTTACGCGGGCCGCCAGCCAGCCACACGAGTTGGAAGTGCACCCATTACCCCTGGGAGTCCACGTCCACAGGCAGCCCTCAGGAGGGTAATTTCCAGACGAGTTACTACATGGGCTAAACCGCTGGCTTATCTGCCCATTAAAAGAGGCGGCTATGCATAAGAATGGTAACTGTGAAGATTTCTTGATTACATCGCCTCAGAATCACATTTTTTAGGCCTCATACTTTAGGAAACTTTTTTCAGTAGCCACATTTATATACCTAATGCCATAATAGAGACCTGATAGCATTTTTGCAAACTCATTGTGATGTTCAAAAGAACCACTTAGATCAGGAGTCAGCAAACTTTCTGTAAAGGGCCAGAGAGTAAATATTTGAGGCCTTGCGGGCTGGCCATCCAGTCTCTGTCGCAACTACAAGGCTCTGTAGCCAGAAGCAGCCACAAGAAAATGCATAAACAAATGAGTGTGGCTGTGTTCCAATAAAACTTTACTTATGGACACTAAAATTTGAGTTTCATATGCTTTTCATGTATTATGAAATATATTTCTTTTGATTTGTTTTTTCAACCACTGTTACCTTGTGGGCTGTAGGAAATGGGCAGATTTGACCAGCAGCCCATGGCTTGCTGGCCCTTGACGTGGATGATTGAAAGATAAATATCAGTGCTGTCACGGCAAAAACTAGAGCCACAAAGTTCAGGGACAGGCAGTGCAGGGGGATAGGAGGCATTTTGGGGTGTCTTACTATTCTAAGCCCATTCCAAGATCAGCAGCATCAGCACCCCACCCCCCTGGCCTCACCCCAGATCTACACAATCCAAATATGCATGAAAAGAAGATCCTGAGGTTACCTACAAGTATGAAGGTTATGTTGAACTCTGAGAAGGCCTGGCAGTGTGGTGGAAAGCTTGGGATCTGGAAATTGAAGGCTTAATTCAAATCACTGGGCCTCTCATTAGCTATGTGGCCTTGAACAAATCATCATTATTATTCATACACCTGTTTCCACACCTAAACAGTGGGGATGATCATCTATGCTAAACACTTAGTGCCTGGCAGGTGATGTTTATTAAATGCTAACTATGATTCATTTTCATAAAATCAATGCCCACACACACACTCCCAAAGGCCACGTCCTAAGGAAACACGTTTAGCCAGGCACTTGGGTTGACTTCTGCAACTGCGCCCACCCCCACGCAATGATCCCATCCATCGAAGGAAAAAAGGACTCCACACGGCTGGCTGCAGAGTGTGAACTATATTGACGGTGGTAGAGGGACAGCTGGGAGACACTGTAGGCTGCGGAGGTGGCGTGCAGCACATATACATGCTCTGTTTTTTGAAACCATGTCATAAAGTTTTCAAATGCATCTCTGTTTTGAACATGACATTTTGTTTTTTTCATTAGCACGGTTTACTACTCTACAGCTTCTCCTAGAGTAAATACATATAATGGCTTTTTGCAGAGCAACTACAGACTTACTGAGATGTTTAACAGGGTGAACTACTTCACAATTAGGTTGACCTTTGAGTTAACAGCAAGATGTTTTTCATTTACTTTGTTCACTGCTGTAGTGGGGGTGGTGTGGGGGTGGTGGTAACTTTTCCAACTTATTCTTTGTTCATGTTTAGTCACCAACAGCCTCCGAAAGGCAATGAAAAATAACAGTCTGCTAAGAAAATTAAGTTGTGATTAGGCCATGGGTTTTTCCAAGACCCTTAAAAGTAAGATAATTTAAATTTACAAGAGAAAAAAATATGCGTCATGGAAAACTAAGTAACAAAAAAACTACTGAAAAATACATCTGTCCAACACAGTGGTCAGCTGTAAACAGCTCAGAGGGATAAAGGAAACAAAAACTCCTTCTAGAATGCTAAGCAGTCCAATGACAAACTCTGCCTTTTCTTTTTTCTAGTGGCTATTTTCCTACCACAGTGTTGAGCTTCATTATTATATTAAATAACTTATATGGGTAAAAAGGAGTTTGCTAACCAGCAGCCAACTCAAAACCTTGTTGGAAGAGGGAGGAGAGGAATTCACAACACGGCACATACAAAGGGAAACAAAGTCCACAGCCGGCTTTCAACCAGTCTTCTCCTCCTGGCCATTCGCCGGGCTGAAGTCGGGGATCTAACTGGAGGGATTTTTCCTCTCCCTCCTCTCCCTTTTTCATTTAAGTTAACAAAGAAACATGGGCTTCCTAAGAGCCAGCACTCAGCTGGGCAAGTCCCATTAGCAGCAAATGTTCAACCAAATAATAAAAACACACACACAAAAGGAAGCTCCATCCAGGTGCAGAGCTGTGAGTCACATGGAAATTCCAGGAGATGAATCATGTGCAGAGCTGGGACCTTCAGAGGATTCTTTCTCCAGTGTCCTCAGTGAACATTTCAGTCTCACAGAATCTGAGTCAGTCTGTCAGCTGCAGGAACAAGTTCCCCAAATGCTCCTGAGCGAGCCTGCTTGCAGGGACTTCCTAGCTTTTTGTGGTCCTAGATGCGAGACGATGAAGGCCACCCCTCAATGATCGCCTGACGGTGCAGCAGCCAGCAGCCCAGTTGTTAAACTCTGCCTAAGAGGCTTGACCTGAGTAACAAAGACAATATGAGAATATGTACAATTATTTGAAATAGGATTAAAATGCCTTGAGTAATACTAGTTTCATTTTTCCTGTGTTAAGTCCCCCCCACCCCCCATATATTTAAAAAGAGAAAGCAGAAATACATCAAGTGTTGTAGTCCTGTTTTTTTGGGAGAACTGCTAGTCACTTAAGAGACACATACATTAATGGAGACGGCAAAAGCTTTGTTTATAAATAAATCTGTATCATGAATGGCTTTATATTTTAAAAAAAAAAAAGGTCATTAATGATAAAAAGCTTCTAGATATGTACTGGTCTTATCACAGGTGGGTTTATTTAGTAAATATAAGCATTTTCACATTCCTGCCCATTGAGGGAATTTAAAGAGCAAGTGACAAGAAAGGTGTTTGCCCTCAGAGGTGCATTTCTCGCTCCCACTGCTAAACTGAAGTGTCTGAATGAATGGCTCCAGGGGCAGCGGGAAAAGTGTCCATGTACAGATATCTTACTGCCCTCAAAGCTAATATATATACAAGGTTTCAGGTAGAGTAATTAGTCTCAGAATCCACTTCACGTGTGGCTTTGCCAATGACCATGACCTATTTTCTTTTCTTATCATCTCTGTGGCTGCTATGCCTCGGCCAACACCTGCAGGGACCCGACCTCAGTCCTCAACGCTGCAGGCGCGGGTGCCCAGCGCTGGGCCGACCTGAGGAAAGGCCCTGCCCTCACGGCTTAACCCAGTAGTAGGAAAAAGCAGCACATATATGGCAAAATAGCACGGGGTCCGTAACAGGCGAGGAGGACGGCCGGAGAGTCCATGGGTTAGGACAGAGATGGATCAGGGAGCAGGAGGTGCTCCAGTGGGGCCCTGAGACTGGACAGAGATGGAAGAGGCAGAGTTCATGGCTTAAACCCAGACGCAAAGGAGGGTCTGTTCTTCAAGGCCCCTTACAAACAATTGTAACGTGGAAACTAGTCTTTTACACCAAGAATGCATCTCTACTGTGTTTACGTACATAATCCCTCATATACCATTCATTCTAAGTGTGCGACTGCTAGTCTCTCAATGAACTCTTACCAGGGCGTTATTACTGAGCACGTCTGAGTTGGGTACGAGGGTGGATGAATTTATGGCTTTGCATCTGAATTTATGCCGTACAGAGCAATCTCTCATTCACTTCACATTTCTAAATTCTCTACTAAATTCTTGGGTCACATTTCAACCAATTGAACGTTAACTGTTATTGTATACTGTGTGTACAGTACATACAAATATGGAGAGAAATTACATAATTCAATCTTTAGTTTTCACTATCAGTCTTTTTACTTATAAGCCCTTCCAAATGAACCACTACTGAACAGAAATATGGCCTAGAAGAATAACAATTAGAAGGAAATGGCGATTAGAAAAGTCTGCGATAGGTTTGCATTACTTTAGCACATCTGGATTTCACAGGTGATGCAGGTGCCAGGTATCATTTATGTATAGTGAACTCAGCTGCTTGACAGTTTTTTTAAAAAAAAAATCTGTAAGAAAAGTAACAACAGCTAAGTTGTACTCGGGGTTGTGCCAACTTATGTTTTTAAAAAAGAGAAAGGGGGGATTAAAGGGGAGAAACAGGGAAGGCAAATGCTATCTAACAAGAATAGCTAAAAGGACTGATTCCCAAACCTTTTACCCAGCAAGATGTGTACTCTGAAGCTCAGGTTTACACCTGAGTAATATTTAAGAGTGGCATTAATATCTTTTAATATCAACACAAATTAATGTAAGTTTTAAGGTAAATGTGCCACTAGCAGGCACAAAATTTCATAGAAGCAGAACTGGCCATCAGCCCAGCAAGCCGCTCCATTCCCATGAGTCCAGGTGTTGGCCAACCTTCTTCACGTTTGTGTGGGGGATAAAAGGAGCACCTCCAATACTTATCACCCCAACTTGTTCTAAGGATAATACTCCCAGTGCCAATGTATCTCATATCTCCTCACTGAGAAGTACAAGGAAGGCCTAACTGTTTCATTGAAACAAACAAAATTGCACAAAACCAAATACATCTTAGATNATCTCATATCTCCTCACTGAGAAGTACAAGGAAGGCCTGTTTCATTGAAACAAACAAAATTGCACAAAACCAAATACATCTTAGATATGTATCCTAGTTCATGAGAACTAGTCTTATATCGTTTAATGAAGGCTCCCAAATGACTGTGGGAAGAAGAGAAAACATGCTTATGAACCTTGGTATAAAAAGGTACATATTCCCAGTGTATCTTAGTAGAAATGCAAGTAGAGCAAGTTTGATTATATTACTATTATATCCTGGCATGCTACTGCCTATTAAAGTATCTTAAACGGTTAAAATACAAATTTACCTGTCCTAGTTTTGTTTGAAAATACATTTATTTGAAAATATTAATAGATTAACAGAATTTTTTACCTTGAAGAGATTCTAGGTTATGCTTCAAGTCCTAATTCTCTCCCTCTCAAACCAAAGTAGGGACCAAGATCTGGTTGGTATGTGACTCCCTCCAATTTACTGAACTAGCTGGCACTTAGGTCTCTTTTATCTCAGGTCCAATAAAATTTTAGCTCAGAAATCTAGTCTGAACTTCTTTCAGACAAAGACAATGAGTCAGTGTTGTTCTTCCCACACCAAGGAGAATTTCAGTTCCTCATTCCATAAAATAATGGGAGACAGAAAGAAAAACAGACACAGTGTATATCTGCCAATACACAAAAAAAGAAAGACAATAGAACTGAACGATGGGAATGAGGATTTTAAGCCACAAAGATTCAGTGAACAGGAGAAAGATGCAGAGGGCTTCTGGCAGAAAGCATGGGCCCTCTCTAGATGAGGCAACACTTTCAAGTTGGTGCAGCAATGAGAAGCAACGAGACCCACCTTAAGGACTTCCATCTGTCTTTCTCTATATGATTTTCAGGTCNCGGTGCAGCAATGAGAAGCAATGAGAAGCAACGAGACCCACCTTAAGGACTTCCATCTGTCTTTCTCTATATGATTTTCAGGTCCTTCACTCTCATAGGAAGCCAAGTACAGAGCTACAATCAAGCAAAAGTAAGAATGCATTAACATCGGAGCCTTCTCCCGATAGATCACCCACCACCACCCAGTCCTGTTCAACATGAGCCAAACCCTATTAGCGAACACACTCCTCAGCCAATCACTTATGACTGAGAAGCACCATAGTTTTATTAAGAACAGAGTGTCACTTTGCCTTTGACAATCTCAACAAAAACTCAAGGGCCTCTATGCCAAAGTGAAACTTAATTACCTGTGAGACAATTTATGAGGCCAAAAAAAAAAGCCTTACAAATGCAAGCCAAATGATGCTATTGTACACTCACGTTTATGTTCTTTACAAAGAAGGGGACGGGAAGGGGATTCACTCCTGGTAGCCTTGATTTTTTTAAAAAAAACCTTAGGTAAATAGCCCGATTTTCAAGGCCAATTCTCCATCCTTCTAAAATATATATTTTTTCTTTTTAAATCAAAAAGCATCTTCATCCAAAGACTTAAAAGTTTATTATTAATCCTATATAGAGGTTTAAAATTACCAAGTACCCTCTAGAATGGTAATATTAATTCAAAATGTTCTTCAGTCATTATCATGAACACTATCCATCTACTATAGGAAATTATTAATTAATAGACACTACCGATTTCTATAATATTAGGATATAACAAATCAATAGAAAAAATCCCCAAGTTTTTATAAACTTAATTCTCTTTTGGTCAATTTTTTCTGTATATCGTCAATTACTTTATTTGCCTCAAATTCCCTANTTTCTGTATATCATCAATTACTTTATCTGCCTCAAATTCCCTAATGTTTTAATAGGTAAAGGCTTTCCACTATTTTTTCAAACAGGAGGGTATAGCAATGAACTGGTTGTTTACTCAAATTACCTTGAATATCAATGTACCACAAAACATCTTTCTCCACAGAAGCAAGCCCAAACAAGGAAGAAAATTCTCCAAAACCTCTCCAAACCTCTGCAGGTGTCACGTTATAAAGAATGTTTAACCCCAGAAACATACTCTTTATGGGTATTAAATGAGTGTGTGGAAAATATGTTAGGGATATATCATACGGATTTCTTAACAGAAAATTCTTANGACTATTAAATGAGTGTGTAGAAAATATGTTAGGGATATATCATACGGATTTCTTAACAGAAAATTCTTAGGAAGGAATAGGTCAGAAGACAGGCTTCATACTACATAAAGAACCAGGCACCAAGCATTTATACACTGTTTCCCAACAGTAGGTCTGGGGACATGGGTGGCAATGCCAGCTGGATGGCCAACTCACAATCTTCACTGAAGACTGGTGCTGTGAGCAGGTACTGCAAGATCTTCCGGTCCCTCTCGAACGGGCATTCCACCTGTTTCCACGTCATGAATTCACTCACTTGTTTGGCCAGTTCCCAAAATTTCTACAAAAGAATCAATTAAAGAATTTAAAAGCAGTCATCAAAAATTATAAGCTTGGAAGAGCCAATTAATTCCCTTTAATGTTTTTCTCTGGCTTCTAATCTTCTGAACTACATCATTTTCTTAATTTAATAAAATTAAGGTACCTGCTAGGTATAGGAAAAATGTACTTAAGTACTTCCAAATAATTAATAACAGTGCTGCAGCTAATTTATTCTACTGGGTATTATTATTGTTTTCTAACAAATGTAGGTAAAGAGAACACTTGGTTCTAGAACTTCAGGATTAGCTTTGTCTGCCTGACCTGAGGTGCGATGCTAGAGTAGCTCACCCTCTCTGTTCTCAGATTTTTTACCCTTACCTCAAAGTTGACGTGGCCATTTGGAAGGCGGTTGGCACAGCCCTCGTTGAGGAAATAAATATCTTTGATTAGAAGACTGAAGAATGGTATCACAATCTAAAGAAAACAAAAGATTCTGGTTTATTTTGGGCTAGTAAACATTTAGCCTCTTATCAAACAATACAAGAAATTAATGAACATCATTAACTCTGGATTACATAAAAAGCCAGTGAATTAAGATACAGTGTTTTGTTTACCTCCCATGACCGCATTTTCCTCCCTTACATAATTTTGCTTCAGACACAAACGCTATTAATAACCAAGCCACAGCCAAGACACATACCACTGGAAAGTGGATGGCTTTATGTCATTCCTACAGTTTTCCTAGTTTTCTTAATGCAGTAGCCATATAATAAAATCTGGAAGTTCTAACTATAATCAAAGGAAAAAGATCTAAAAGAACTCCTGCTTTTCATTTAGTAAATTATTAACAGAATACCTGGCATCGTAGGTACCAAGATTTTAAGAGGTGTGACCATCTCCCTGCTAGAATCTGTACTGTTGTATCATTTAGATTTCTACATTTTAGATGATTTTTTTTTAGATGAACATTTCATTTTACTCTAGAAGACACTGCCCGAGAGGGTAATGTCAGAGCTCAGTGTTTTAGGTATTAGTTGCCACAAACTTCCAATCCAGTAAACCTGGCCTTCAGATGACAGAACAAGTTCGCACCTGTTCTCATGGGAAATCACCGAAGTACCTTACACAATATGCTGTGAGATGTGCCCAAGTGAAGGAGGAATATAAATATGCATATTAAAATTAATGGTTATTTAAAACACAATGAGCCTTCTTTAGTAAGACGTTCCTGCCTTGATGATGATGAGGTGGTATTAATTATCCTAAAATAATAATAATCTCTAAGAGTCCCCTAAATCCTGCTAAGCCCCTGATGAATACAGGACAAGGCTCGGACACGGTAACTTCCACTTCTCTCAAGTGCCAACATGGTCTTCCAGATTCTGTATTTGCTACAAGGAAAGAGTGCTCCAAACGCTAACTGCGGGCCTATGTTGTTTTCCCGAGTGGGCTTCTGAAGTTCCCCCAAGCTTATGACTCATGAAACACTCCTGTACTACTGAATAGGGCTGCGAAACATACATTTTGGCTCATACCCCCAAATACTAAGGATTAATTTCCACTTCTAGAGAGAAATTCATATTTTCCCCTAAAGCCATTTAAAAAAACCTGATTATTTTTTGTTCCATTGATCTCTGAAAATAGCCAAAGTGAATCTTGGCTCTGACAGCCTCTTTGAATATACTTTGTCATTTGCTATTGTCTGTGGTGGAAGTTTCTTAAGCTGAATTATTAAAGGTTCCCCCTCCTTCAAATGTTACTGTTTCTGTTAATTTTAGAATTAAACAGACACAGTACCAATGACAAAAGCACACCTGTACCTCATTTCTTGGAAAAACCACTTGTGACTGGGAAGCGCTGGACTTGGGGATCTGCCAGACATCATTTTAAAATCTGGCTCCACAATTTACTGGCAGCATGAGCCAGGGGTCTGGGAACTGTGACCCGTGGCCTGGCCCGGGCCCACCACCTGTTTTGGGATAGCCTGCGAGCCACACAGTTTACAGTTTTAAGGGAATGGAAAAGTATCAAATGAATAATATTTTGTGAGCATGAAAATGATATGAAATTCCAATTACAGCAGCCACACAGCTTTACCGAAAAACAGCTACGCTTGCTCACCCACGTACTGTCTCTGTCTGCTTTTGTGCTACAATATCAGAGTTCAGTAGCTGCGACAGGGACAGTACGCTCCACAGAGCCTAAAATATTTATGGTCCGGTCCTTAATGGAAAACATGTGCCAACCCCTGGAAAAGCCTAACATGCTAAGAAAGCCTAGTGTCCTCACCTTAAAATGGAAACAGCAGAAACTTCCTCACTGGGTTGTGGTAAGGATTAAGATAAATAAGACAGGTTTGACTTCAATGAAGCACTCCCCCAAAACCAATGGGCCCCATAAAAGGACAAATATATTAATGATGCACTTGAAAGATAATAAGAATACATCATCGTAAGGCAGCTGCTGGGAAATGAGGCAACAGTATAATTGAGACGCAATATTTACATAGTGGCTCAGTGGTTGGGCATCGACCTAGGATCCAGGAGATCGGGGTTCGATTCCCGGGCAGGGCACATGCCCGGGTTGCGGGCTCGATCCCCAGCTGGGGGCGTGCAGGAGGCAGCCAGTCAATGACTCTCTCTCATCACTGATGCTTCAACTCTCTCTCCCTCCCCCTTCCTCTCTCAGAAGTCAATATACATTTAAAAATATATATATATATTTACACGGTGGGACAGCTTTTGGGCAACAACTCTATTTCTGTGCTCTATTCTGTCCTGCTGGGCTGTCAGAGTCATGGGGTGTTGAGGATTTACTGTCTCATACCGATATTTAAACTTTTCATAAGCTCATGTCCTGTGCCTCTTGTTGGGTGGCAAAGGCTGTACCTTATGTGATATTTGCATTCACGGTGCCCACATGATGCTCCACTATGGATTGAATCACTTTTCCAGAAAAAGAGAAATATAAGTAACCTTCCATAAGGCACTTCCCTGCTCTGTTCCTTATGCCCACATGCAAGAAAACAAAAAAGTCTTCTTTGCAGGCTTCTTCAACCTCCCGTTTACTCACGGATCAAGTTCCCTTCAGCTCTCTAGCCCCTCTCTCTAAATCTAACAGTAAAAATCAGGAGAGTCCCAGGACTTTGCATTTCTGTGAGCTAAAGTCTCGTTTCTAGGAGGTCTGGCCAATGCTGTCTTTCGAGGCAGGATTTCTCAAATAACAGCTCCCCAGCCGCTACACCTTAAAGGCATTATCAGCCCCACACCTACAAATGAAGGCTGAGGCGCGAACAAGTTCCCAGGAACACAGGGAGAATGGGGAAAGGGTTCATAACCACGCGATCGTATCTGGAGTGGCTAAAAACCCGGGGGAGAAGCAGTAACTATCTGGAGGCCGCGGGGGCCCGTGCGGAAGGCAGGTTCCTTCTGCTCTGTAAGGCGCTGCTAGATGCGCCACCCGGCCGCATAAACTCGAGATCTGAAAGCACACCAAAGATTCTATTACTCTAGTCATGGGGCCAGGAGGACTTTAGAACAGGAAATTATTCGGGCACAAAGGGAGTTTCCCTCACTTCAAAAAAGAACAAAGAATCCCAATTCTCTGGAATAAAAGATGGATTTATCTAGAAATGTTTACATTCACAGCCTTTGAGACCAAGTGTGAAAAAGAAACAGAGTATTTTTTTAAATGGTGGTGATTTCATTTGTTTTATGAACTTGAGAGTACAATTCATACGCTCACACAGAACTGTCTTTTTAAATAGAAAACTAAGCAGACAGAATTTATTAAATGACGTAAAGGGTAAATACTTTGGTGTTTTGTTTTGTTCCTCGAAAAAGCAACTAGAGGCCCACAAATATAATCATCAATGAGGTTTTCAGGGGGGGTGGGGATTAGACTTCAGAATTATTTCGGCCAGTGCTGCAGCTCCCTACTGAGAGAGATGATTCTGTGGCCGCCTCCCTGGGGGAGCCCGCCAGGCTCTCAGTGAGGGCCATGCAGCTGCAAAGAAGGAGCCCTGCATCCAACACGGAGGTGAGCGAGAAGCCACAGAGGCTCCAGGCGCCAGCACACCCTCGTGCTCAGGGTGCCGGACCCTCCCACACCTCTGCTCTCTTCCAGAGCTTGAAAAACTTCTGATTAGATCTTTCCTTGATCTAGTCACAGGAGTACAGGGACTTGGGCAAGTAAAACTGAAAAGCTGGTGAACTCCATCGGGCTAAGGTAGAGAAAGTGGATTCTGCCTCACCGCCTCTCCAACCCTGTTTCTTTACTTAAAGAGAAGTTCACGTATTTACAATAGCTCTCCAACATGATCAGGACTGCTATTTCAGATTCTGCTGAGACCCAATTTAACCTTTTTAAAAGATGGGGGATATTTTTGCATTTGTTTTACTGAGGCTGACATTTTCTGGGGGGAAGTGATTGAGATGCCCTGTACTATTTTTCTAAACTTCATTTTCTTCTATTTGTTGAAGATACAGTTTAAGTTAAAAGACGGACAGAATCTATAGAGAAAACAACTTTCATCAAGCAACCTTCATCAGCCCTTTCCCAGAACCAGGTATTTACTTCTAAGACAACATGATCTCCCAATGTCAAAATGGCTTATCCTTCCCAGGTAAGGAAACACGACACTGAAATGTGCCAAGAAAGGACCCTCAGAATCAAGAGCTTGGTGGATCCAGGACAGCGTGAAATTGTTTAAGGGTAGGGTAGATAGAATAAGAATCATTTTTTTCTCGGGCATTTTTCTGTACTTTTTCTGCCACCCACATATCCATGAGTAATAGCAGGCCTAATGCTACAGCAACTAACCTACTTTCTGAAAACAAATGACTTAACCACGGGAGGTAAGCTGGTCCTTTTAAGAGGAAAGGCTACAGTTAAGTCAGCTACCTTGTGCAGAGCTTAAACATCTATTCTCCATTCAATCAAATTATTCCCTAATACCATTAGTCATCTTAACGGATGACTTAGATCACTGCTTGAAATGCAACTAAGACACGTTACCAAATAATCATTTAAATAATGCAATAACAACACAGTAATATACATTTGCAAAATTCTACACCAAGTTACCCTTTCCCTCTCACAGTTCAGCTTTCCTTTAGCACTCCCCTTCCCTGTGCGGCCCGCGATACGATTTCCACAGCGTCAGCTTTCTCCCATTTGCACAGGCAAAAGCAGCTCAGTGCAGCTAACAGTTCACACTGCATCTCAGTGCAGCATCTACCACGAGTAAAACTCCTTTACACACATACCTTCTCTCTGCTACTGTGAGCAGTTAAAGACCTCTGTGCTGCCCCACGAAGAGCTGTTCGGTAATTATAGAAATTACTGGAAGGGTCCATCTGATGCTATGGACAAAAGAGAGGAGAGTATGAACTATTGACTTCTCACTGGCAGGAAGTTCACAAGATCATACTTTTAACTCTACATAGAAAACTCAAAATAATTATGGAATTCATCAAGAATGTCATTTGTCTCTCATACACACACACGGGCATGAAACACAGAAGAACACAAATGTTTTCTTTCCTGAGGTTTGGTTTATTTACATAAGCTGATGTCAGCTGCGATGATGCTAAACCCAGACCAAATTCTTTCCAGGTTGACTGCTGAGATTAGACTTAAAACCGACAACAAAGAGTCAAACACCAACATAAGAAACCGTTTCCCGGTTCCATCTGAAGGTTACTGTGTCAGCTGATGGTCAGCCATCCCACAGTGATCCGACACTTTAGAGTGAACTCGTGCTTTGCTGTAGGTAACCAATCATTCACGAATAATTGAGGCGTGCTACCTCACAAGAAGGAAAGTAAGTTTATTACACAATCTGAATAAAGTAAAATTACACACCCTATGTTAATCCCCAATTTGGAAGAAAACCTAGGAAAAAAATATTTTCTTAGTATCTCCAAAGATAGTAGATGCAAAGCACGAAAACACCAAGGTACTAATGATGTGTGACTCACACACAAATGCCTTATGTTTAAGTCTTACTATCCTGAGCTACATGGGAGGGCCTCTCCACAGGTTAGATAAATGTGCTAAAAGGATGGAGAATGAGTAGTTCCGTGGGGCTGGGGTACCCCTCCCCTGGGACACTGTGAGTAAATCGAGTCAGTGGGCACACACGGAAGTAGAACTCCCAACGGGTCGGGACCCAAATTCCACCCTGGCATACGTGAGGTGACTGGCAGGTCACCGTTCCTCTGTCCTCTTGGTGAAAGGACCCATCTACAACCCGATTACCTCCCCTCCAATTCTACTCCTTTTCCTTTCCCTGGGTCTGTAGGGTGGGTCTGTAGAACTATCTGACGGAGAGACAAGGTCACCCAGAGGAAATTCCACTTGCCAGGCATAAAATGTTACTTAACAGCGGAACATCAGCCTCACACACCTCGAGAATGTCAAACTTCGCAGTCTTCACTTTGGCCCAAGTTTTCTTTAGCCGAGACACTGGGCTCATGTTCATTCCAGCTTCACGTTTAAAATGGGGAGGGAGTGGAAAGAAAGTTGACAGAGAGAAAGAAGAAAAGTTATTCTAATTGTTACTCTGAAAAAAGGTTCACAACTAAGTGTAAGTGACACTTTATTAAAACCTTCCAAACAGTTCTGCAAAGTAGCACTACTATTTTACACTCCCACCAATAACACTCAGTCCCACTTGCTCCACAGCCTCGCCAATATTGGGTGCAACCAATCCTTTTCATTTCGCTAAGCCCAGCGTGTGAAGTAGTATTTCAGTGTGATTTAATTTGTATTTCTCTGTTAACGATGTGGAGGGAGCACATTTTCATATACTTACTGTCCACTAGTACAGCTTCTTTTGAGAAGTATCTGTTCAAGCATCTTGCCTTTTTCCCCCACTGGGTTATTTCTTACTATTGATTTGTAGGGTGTTTTAATTCTAGATACAAGTTCTTTTTCAACTATACATAACATAAATGTTTTCTCCCATGACTAGCTTATCTTAACATTTTCAATGGTATAAGAAGAGGAAAAATAAATACTAAATGTATCCCATGAATTCTCGTGTCCTTAAAACTAAGTCATCATCTATTACCTAGACCTCCGTGGACCTTCCAGGTCCCTTATTTAGATGTCATTCTGTTTACTGTTTTCATGGAGTGAGTCAGACAAAGAGCTAAAACTTGGCCAGGATTTTTATGGCAAAGACAAAGGGGAAATGATATGAAAAGAAAATGGAAAGAAAAATTGGTGAGAGGAGAAATTTATTAGGATCAAAATCACTGAATTAAATTTGGTAGATTCTCTGGCTTCAAACTGACCCTGACTCTAAAGAGCCAGATAAATATTCAAGTATTTACTGAGTGCCTACAATGTGTAGGACAGCCATATCATTTATCATATGAATTAGGACACTTTTAAATGACAGTCAGTGTCAATGTGGCAAGACAAGAGGTACAATTTGGGAAAGCTAACCCCATGCCTATGCTGATAGGATGAATAGAAAGACACATGGCCACATGGCCACTGTATCAAATCCCTGTGATACAGAGGAGCAAAGCCTGTATTTCAGGGTAATAGGTCTGTATTGGTAGGTACCAGGAGACGGGCAAGGCAGTCAGAAAACGTCCCAGTTTCTCAAGCCACCCTCTTGTCCATGCTGATGGGATCATATAATTTAGTCTCAGATCCAGTATTTCTATAATGCTGGATACACAAGCTGTCCAAACACTTTTTAAACAAAATTTAGACAAATATCTTACTTATAAGCTTTGACTGGTAAATATTCAGATGAGAATAAAGTGGCTAAATGTATTCCATGGATTCTAATGTACTTATAAAAGATCATACATGCTTGTACCGCTTTGGGTATTTAAAGCATTCTGAACATTCTGAAACAATTCAGGATCAAAAAGTACAGTTTTCATTAACAAAACTGTATTATTTGCAAATTTTCAGTGGATACATTTCATAGGGCCTATAAAAATGAACTTATAGAAATGAAGGACATGTAGCTTTCAGAAAACACTCACAAATTATCGCCATCAAGGAATTAAAGTTGCCGATGTTAAAACACTCCCGAGCGACATCGATGAAATACTCAATCATTCTTGCCCGGTGCTTCTTCTTTACAGGCTGTATAGAAAGAGAGAAACGAGGAAAATTATCCAACAGGCAAGTCCAATAGATATAAAATAACTATAGAAAAGTATTAAAGAGAGCTAGGAAACAGAAAATTCATGTTCTCCTCACCATGCAAATTTCCGTAGCAACCAAGTAGCTGAGGCGATTAAACCATTCCACATAAGCCTCTAAATTTCGTGTTTTCTTCCGTTCACTGTAGCAGCTCTTAAAAAAAAAAAAGGCAAAGTGAGCAGATGAGTTGGAGGGAGAAAAGAAAGAGTGCATTAGGCTCTCATTTTTGTCAGATGTGGGCTTTATTCTCAGTTTATGGATTAGGAAAGCTTTATAGGAAAAAAGAGAGATGGAGAGGCAGACAGAGACACTAACATTCTTGACTCTCCTTACAGAAATACCAGAATCTCTTAGTGTATATATAGTTCAGTGAAACCCCTAAGGTCTAGAAATGTACTCTGATGCATTCATTGCAGTGCTCTTCCCTCCCAGGAAACTAAGTTACTCTAGGAGAAGCTGTCATCAAAAACACAAGTCAAAGGAAAGGTTTTGGCTGCAGTCTAAGACCATCTTGCCTGATGCATGGACTGTGGATAACAATTGCTACCAACACAGCAAGCGGAAATTCAGAGTGCCAGAGACGAGGCAATTTTTTCGAAAAATTAAGTCTAAGACAAACTTTAGGAGCATCATGTAGCAAGAAACTGAGTATCTTCCAAGGCAGATAAATGGAAGTCTATACCATCAGGATCCTTAGGGGGGGTAGTAACATCTTGTTCAAAAATCAAAGGAGTTAAGCTCATCTCCAAGTTCAAGGCCAAGCCTGAACAGGCCAATTACACCCCTCTTTCCTTCCTTTTGAAGGCAACAAATACACAAAAAAGTCTACTAGCCTTCTATCGATTGCCAAGACTTAATCTTCACTTCCTGTACTGCGGGAACTATTCTAAGGCCGGAAAACAGCTGTTGCCCCGGCTCCCAGAGGGGAGCTTTCATTAGTGGGTGATACAGTCTTTGCCTAATAATTTGAAATGCTTCTGGCAGTCACTGGGGGGAAAAAATTTCTTATGTGTGTACACTGATTTTACAGTCCATGCCCATTGCTATTTTCCTTGCACGTGGGCTTCACTGAGGCAATCAACCTTCACGGGGGGTTCACCCTGAAACAAGGGGCCAAGCAGGAAAGACCCTTGCTCACCGCACTGGGTGTGCATCCTGTCTTTACCACCCCTGGGACTGCTGAGTCATGAGCAGAGCATTCTCTTGTGTTTTCTTTCTCACTTAATCTGCTAAAACCATTAGGCTTGTATCTCCTAACTTCGTCACCACAAATGCCTGCATCTCCCTGCTTATTACACTTCCCAGTAAGGAAGAAGAGACTCAAAGCTGGTGCTAGACAGGGCGAGGACAGGATAGAGGCACTTGGACACCTGGTTCCAGAAAAACTGCAGTGCTGTGGATAATGACATGGATAATGACATTAAAAAAATTTTAAAAACCTTTCTGATTTTAAAACCTAAAACAAAGTAGTTCCAACTTCTGTCTCCTAGACTGACTATCACAGGCTAAGGAATTCCATTTCTGATCTCAGGGCTGACCTCTGGGCAGACTGATTACCTTGTCGTTGTCCAACGGGTCCTTCTGCACAAATGCCTGAACAAATTCTTCGGGTCCGATGTAATTGAGCCTTTCCTGGAACACAAACCCAGCAGGTCAACAGTATTAAAAAAAGAGAGAGAAAAGAAATGGACTTTCAACTTATTGACTTTTGGCACTACCCCCCCTTTTTATGCAGCTTGTAAAATGAGCCTTCAACTCTAAGCGGAGGCAATGTTCTGCCTCAGTCAAAGCTACACTAGATAGTGAAAGGCTGAACGAGTTACGGGAAAATTAATTAGAGGGGCAAGATGAGGAAGGTCAATGAACTCTTTGCTCTTTCAATCTTGCTTAATATTTATTTTAAAGCGAATTCCCAGAATAACAGAAACATTCATATTCAAACATCTAAACAAAACCCTTTCCAGCTATTTCACAGATCAGTTTCCAGTTGGATTGCTCTAACCTCTCCCCCGACACTGCTGCTGACAAACATACTGTCTGGTTGTCGCAGCAAAGTGAGTCTGTGGCCGCAAAGAACAGGGTGACAATAGCCGTACCAGCTCTATGTGAGTCAGCTGCTGGGCCAGCGTGTAGGGGTCACTGCAGACAGTGATGATGTCCCTCTGTATGGACTGGGGCTTGTTCTTGAGAACCGTGAGCCGATCTGTAGAGGTGGAGCTGATTTTTGCCAGGACTTCCTCGTACTGGCTGAGGGCGGCAAGTTTGCGGATTAGACACTGGATCATCTGCTGGACGTTCTTCCTGTACGTCTGCAGGGAAGAAGCAGCAGGTTACGGCCTCGCTCTGCAAGCCATTTCGCCACGGCGCAAACTCACAGACTGTGGACTTAAATTCCACCTGGACGGCGGAGGACCACCTTGGCCCCGGGCAGTTACGGGCAGATTCAGCCAAGGTCTGACAGTTTAAAAGAGACACATACACAAGAGGTGTCTTCTCAAGACTTGTCAGATTTGGTTCTTTTACTGAGCTGCTCTTGAGAGTACAATTCACAGACTGGGCCAAGAAAACACCACAGTGACATCTGAGATTAGCTATGGAAGAAACCCAGTGTACTAAGAACCACGTATAACTAAATGTTCTCTGGGCTGCATAGGGATGTACTGGTTTAATTTTGGTGGATTAAAATGCATTGATCTCAAGTCAGAGCACGCTTTTCCTAACACTTTTTCTTTCGGGCTACCTTCGTGACTCCCCCATGCCCAACTCATTAGTCTAAGGGCACAAACAGCTATGTGATGGAAACACACCACTACTTCCCACTCGCCCCTCAACCACCTTCCTGACTCCCACACAGCGTGGGTGACCCGAGGAAGCCGTGGGCATTCAGTTCTCTACCTGACCTTCCCTTGACTCATGCCCATTTCTTTCGCACTCATGAGTCAGTGCCGGAGTTCACAACCAAACTCTTCGACATGGCAAGTGTCCCCACGAGGCTACCACCAGCTCGCTACTGCAATTATGCCACAGCCACAACGCGTAAGAGAAACTGGTCTTAAAAGCAATGCATGTAGTATCAATAAATGTCAATTCCTTGACNGCCACCTGTTCGCTACTGCAATTATGCCACAGCCACAACGCGTAAGAGAAACTGGTCTTAAAAGCAATGCATGTAGTATCAATAAATGTCAATTCCTTGACTTTCAAAACACTTGTTAAGTCAAAGGAATAACTTCACAATTTATCAGTCTCTGAGGTACAGTTATCTTGATGTAAGTAACGGGATTCTTTCAGTCTTCCTTTTCTTGCACCAAACTGCCAAACCAGTGTCCCTCTCGGTCAGTTATGAGGCCGTATCAGAGCACAGCACGCAGGCCGCTGCGATGCCAGCACGGTCCTAGGTTAACAGCTCCGAAAGGGGACAGTCCCTGTGAACTGCCAGATGTAGAAAGGCCTGTACGCTTCGTTGCCTAATCAGGTCCTTTCTAAAAGGTTACCACAAAATCGTCTCCTGAGATTAGTTACCTGAAAATTAAATGTCATCTGGCCTACGAGTATAAGAACCATATTATTTTACAGACACGATTTGATTACCAGGGCATATTAAAAACTCAAATGAATAGATATTTGCATACTTAAGCCAAGGAAAACCGCATCTGGAAATGATCAGTTCTCACACAGTCAAGGCAAAGAGGCCTATGCAGGCTTCTTATTTTTGTGTTCCTCTTGGCTTGTCTGCTGTACATTCTACCGAGTTCTTTAAAAGGGTCCATTAGATGACCCTCTTTTCTCTCGACATTCACAGACCACCCTAAAACCACTAATGAAATACCTGTTTAAAAAAAAAAAGGAACCTTCAAAAACCTACCTTCCCCACAGCATTGAGATGACCAGTTTTGAAGGTGCTGTCTATCGGGTAGGATGGGTGTCACACAAAGAATATGCCTCTTTCTTTGGAATTCAAAGCAGCTCAAGGCTGAATTAAGGGCTATTTCAAATCTTGCGTGAGGGGGAGGGGGCAGGTGGGAGAGGAAGGTCAAAAGGTACCAACTTCCAGTTATAAATAAATAAGCTCTGGGAGTGTAATGGATAGCATGGCGACTATAATTAATCATCTTTTGCATATTAGAAAGTTGCTAAGAGAGTAGACCTTGAACCTTATCCCAAGAAAAAAATTTTGTAATTACGTATGGTGACGACTCTGAATACTGGACAGACTCACTATGGTGATCATTTCATAACACAGACAAATATTAAATCATTGCTCTGCATACCTGAAACTAATAGAATGTTTTATGTCAATCATACCTCAATAACAATAAATAAATAAAAATAAAGCCCCTGGCCCTATTTCCCTTGCCTTTTCTACTTTCATAATCTTGGGCTACGACAGAAGTTTATGAACTTCAGATGCTGTCCTCAGTCTTCTGCCTCACACGTCCAGTGGACGCGCCCACGTGACTCTGGCCCGCGGCGGGCGTGAGAGCCCGCGCTCGGCGAGCACTCGGGCCAGGCTCTTCCTCCACGCTCGGGGCGCGATGGGGGCGCTCGCGGGAAGAGGCGGCGGGGGGCGGACAGCCGAGGAAATGTATTCAACAGTGCGGGGGAAGCTATTCAAACAAGGAAGAACTAGTCTCTTTGTGTGTGTGACAGAGAGAGAAAGGGCACATATGTGTGTGTATGACCACTTTTAAAAGTTTCCTTTTGCCATTTGACTCCTTAAGAAACCAAGCTTTGTGTTAAGTGCGCTCCCTCACTGACTCATGAATTGCTAAAGACATACTTATTCTTTTTTATAACTTCAGATGCCACTGACAGTAATTACCTGGCAAATAAAGACAGAGTAACGACCGGCCCCTTAAGGAAGAGAAAACCGCATTCTACCCACGATAGTCATTTGTCATGTAATGCACTCGTTAGTTTCATTTCATGTTTCTTGCGGGCAAGTCCTAATAAACCGCTTTATTTTGAGCAAATCCCCAGGGGGGAAACATATTAAGCCAAATTATGTGGAACTGTCCTGGCAGATTCAGAAGAACCTGGATAAATTATATATGGGGCACACCTGGGTTCACTGACTGCCAAAAAACTCTGTAAAGTCCCAGGCAAGAAGCAGCAAGTTCCAGTCCCAGCCCACGCGCCTGCCTGTGGAGGGAAATAATTTTTCAGGGGAGGGAGATATTTTATTTCCTATTCCAGTAATTGAATAGGAAGCCAATGTTTCATTTGTTCATTCATTCATTCAAACAGAACTGAGTGCCTATCAAGTGCCGGGTATTGAGCTAGGAGTCCAAGATGCTACAGTGAGCAAAGGGGGCAAAGCATGGGGTTTAGCACAGAAAAAAGAGCCATAAACGCAGCAAGTGATCACTAATCACAGAGTGCTTGAAGGAAACAGTGAAAGCCAACAGCGGCGCAGGGGGCGGTGACTGTGGTCGGGGTGGTGAGGGAAGGTCTCTGAGAGCACATGACAGGTGAGTGGCATGTCACGCGAACAACTGAGGAAAGAGCATCCATCCCAAAATGTTAGAGCTGAAAGGGACATTACCACGGGACAGTCACCTCTATGATTCACAGACAAGGAATTTAGGGACTGGCCAAAGCACACGCAGATCAACCAGCAGCCAAGTATGGACCCGATTCTGAACACTGGACAGAAAGAGAAGGAACATCTCACTATAATCCCAACCTGATCAAGGCAGGTTAATCTCTCCACTCAACCCAGAGGTTAATCAATTCCTCAGGTAGACTTGGCTTCTGTTCTCTTTTCACACTCAAGAGCATCTGAAACGCTCAAGGTCTATCAAGGATTTGTTATTAACACAGGAGAGCTGGTAAGAAGCCAGGTCAGAGGGCTGTTCGGCTCTTTGCACAGTTCCATCCAACCCTTGAGTGGTTTGGTATTATAGTAAAAAAAGATCCACCTGGCCACACAGAAACCATCTCTGTTTCTCCCATGACGAGAAGAAGCCATCCATTTGGCATTTTCAAAACATGAACATTTGACTAGGAAAAGTGTTCCTTTTGGGAGAACGAAATCACCATTTCTACCTTTTAAAAAAGCAGTACAGGGAAGGTAGGCCAATAGCCATGTCAAGAACCCAAACACAACATAACTGGAATGAAGTACAGACAGGCTCAGGCTCAGCCTTCCTGTGAGAAAAAGTTCCTATGAAGTCACGAACCTTCTGAGCAGCTTGTCATAATCACGTCCCCGAGCCCTCACGGACCCCACCAGCAACCCAACAGCCAAGCCTCTAATAAAACATTTACTACAAAAGTGAACTGCGATGCTTAACTTGTGCCTTTGTGAGGGAGGGACTTACCAAGTCACATCCTGCTCGAACCCGTCACACACTAACTGGCAGAATGATTGTAACAGACAGGACTTGTAAAATGACGCAGGCAACCACCCATTCAGCCTATGGAAACCATGGCTGTCTTCAGCAGCAGATTCAATATAATGTCACAGGGAAACAGTAAAAGGGTTAATCCCATTTTGGTGAGAATATAGTGAGGGAAAGCAAGTACAAATTTCTCGAGCGCCAATCTTAAAAAATTTCATTCTGATTTTTAAGTCAGGGGTAATGGTATTAAAACGTATTCGCGAGAAGCAGACAGACGATGTCTTGTTACATGATCTTTACCGCACGCCCCTGAAAGACTGAGTTCTCGAGAAAGGTTATTCATAAATGGGAAATGCATTGTAAGACGAATGAAACAAGACATCACTGCAAGGGCCAAGCGCTTCTGCTCTCTCTTTCTATGTGAAAATGTTGTCTCTGTGCCTAAGGAACCTGCTCCCAGGAGCTCACCAGCAACAGAGAAATTACAAAGACATCTTGGCCCAACAAGCCTCAACACAGAATACCAGCCTCCAGGCTGCTTCAAAGATAGCCTTGAATTTGTCACAGCTAGTTAGCTCGTATCAAAGGCTCACCTGAGGGAAGCGATATTTATGAAAGATTATCTAAGAGACTTACTTTCCACCTCCACCTATTATAGGTGCTAGCCTTGAATGAACTTCCGGAGACTTGGATCCTTCGCTCTGTCTTCTCCTCTCACAAAAGTTCACCTTTGCCGATTTACACATTAATCCTACGGCCTCCGTTTTTTATCAAGAAGCATTTGTTGTAAACACTACACAGAGCAGTTTCCCTGATCTGATTCCACGGCCCCTGAACAAAGTCTCTCTTACAAAGGTTTTTAAAAATCACATTTAATTTAATGCCCTGAAAAATTAGAATGCTTTCTTTTTCCTGACAGTAAAAATTGTATAACCAACTGTATTTCCCTTTTATCTGGAGCTTACACTCAAATCACAGCAGTCCTGTCCTATTGGACTGGTTCTCAATGTTTTCTCATTTCCATGGTACAAACTCTATTTCTATTTATAATTTATTCATATGCTACTTCTGTCTGTTAATATGTTAACATATTATTTTATATCTATTAGTGTTTATATCTACTAATATGATACTTAATATCTAACTTGACATGTCAAACCTTTCTGGAAGGTACAAGTCAAGTCAAATGAAAACATTCGCAAGGGGGTGGGGCAGGGTGAAGAGGGTAAACGGGGTCAAATATACGGTGATGGAGGGAGACTCCCCTTAGGTGAGCATGGAATATACAGATGATGTATTATAGAGATGCACCCCTGAAACTTACAGAAGGTCATTAACTAATGTTATCCCAATAAATTGAATTTAAATATAAAATTTTTTAAAAATAAGAGAGACAAAGAAAACCCCATGCTTGCAACAGGAATCCCGGGCATGAACTGACACACAGACCCCGAAATCAATCACATCAAACCCTGGACCATACCCTTTGAGGTGGGATTGTAATCACCCCCGTTTAACACGCCGAACAGACCAACAGGCTAGCGGAGAGCTCGCCCAAAGGTAAAGGGAAGCCGTGGGGATTCCGACGCCAGTCCGGCACGGTGCCCCCGGGGCTCCGCTGGCGATCCGGCCCTCACGCTAGGCGCAGGCCACCCACCTCCTCGCCGCTGGCGATCCGGTGAGCCAGGTCTTTTAGGTTTCTCATCATTCTGTCATCCCGAAAGTCGTAAGGAAATGTTTCCGTCCACTCTGTCAGGAGTTGGAGGATTTTGGGTGCAATTTTTCTTATCTGGTTCTAGGGAGAAAAAGCAAAATCTAATTCAGTGATGCCGATCGCCGTGGACTACATCAAATAAATAATTACAGTGTCACTGATAAACTCCTAGTGCAAAGTTTTTGGGGTTAAAGAAGCAGCTCTAGCCTTCCTCCCGAGCCAACGCCAAGTGCCACCAACTTAAGGCGGGATCTGGACTCTTCCACGGCGTTAGACGCGCACTGTGCTCTTTACGCCGTTCCCAGTCCTCTTCTCATCGCCATGACGCACTCACACACTCCGCCAGGGGACAGGCGAGGGTTACTTAAGGAAACCAGCGTCACCAAATCTAAGCGGCAGAGTTACCTAACCTAACAGAAAAAAACTAACGTTCAAACCGTATCATTACCTTGTCGCTGTTCGGATCATTTAGTCTCTGGTGCTCAACACATAGGTGGCAGACTTTGCTCATTAGCTCATACGGGTGCATAAATAACCGAGAGCTGAGTAGGAAGGTAAATATGTACGTTCTCTGTGGCAAGAGAAAAAAAAATCACACGGTTATATTCTGAAACTAGTATCTTTCCTCTATATCACACATCTTATTTCTTTACGTTCCCTCAATCAGAGTTAACATGCTGCAGTTTCAAACACAATGCTTACTAGTAGTACACCACCACAAGATGAATTCCTCCTTTACCTTCTCATGTATCTTTTCCTGTAAATCACATGAAAAATGATCGAAGTGCAGGAGAAGTTTAGCTACTGAAATCATTCATAGCACGTTCTTTCACGCCCATCCTCTGGGAGCCAGGACACCAGGACATAAAACTCACTCTTTTAAAAAGAATGAAATTCCGTCCAGGGAGATAAATCTATCTGAAACATACTACCCATACCAAATCGTGTTCTGTGTCCAAATATTATGGTAACTCAACGGACACCAAAAAAACGCCCTATCAACACCAGCTCCGCGTTCTCCGGAGCGCCCCGCGTAGCACACTGAGGTGTCTGTGTGCTGTGTCAGAACAGTCAAAGGCGGGCTTTCAAGTCATCTATTTACTTGCTCAAAGGCTAAGCAATTTGACGAAATACAATACCGCACTATATACTTTTCTTTAACCGCATTGTCTCCCAAGAAGCCGGTAATGAAGTAGTGCTTATTTGTTATAATAGTTTCAGGCTCCCAATGAAAAGAATGTTCAGCCCTGGGTTTTTTCCCCCCACCTTGGGAGCCTTTAGTAGCTTATAAACACTTACAGGGCTGAACAAGGGACGCCTTTTACTTCTGATTACAAGTTTTCCCTGTGTGGCAACATATTTGAAAATGCTATGCAACAAATCACACACAGAGAGATAACTCAGTAAGAAACACTAGGTTGAATTACAGTTGCAAGCACACACTATCCTTTGCACACCAAAGGCCATTATTATATTTATAAAAACATATGAGTCTACTGTCTAGATATTTTCACGAAATCATTATCAACAACCAGCTACTGGTTGGCAGGGGTAGCTGCAGGACAAAGGAAGGGCGTAAAACGTCCCTTCCCCAGAATTAGAAAAGTTGGGTCTGATTGCTGATACCAGGAGTGAGACTATGTGCAAATTATGAATTTGTTTTCTCTTCTCTGGCCTTTGGAATTGCTGTAAAGACTGAGCAAATGTAAACGAGTTGCTTCGATGAGAAAGTATGATCTATACAAATGTCCGTTATTGAAGTAAAACATACGCAAGCACGTCATCTGATGTCCAATCACAAAGAGTTGCATCTTGAATATAACACTCGTTCTCTTTGCTATGACAGGTCCCTAACTTTACTTTTCCCAGCACAGTGATGGTCTTGGAAACAAAAAGGCATCCAATACTCCGAGAGCACCCAATGTTCTCTCGCACGTCTATTTGAGGACCAGGTTATGCCTGAATCAAGCCTACGGATACAGCACTTCATCTAGATGGTATCTGACTGCCTACAATGTGGTGCCAACCCTGGAAAGAAACTGACACGCAGACAGCAACCCAAATCTGAATCACACCCAGGCTCACTCTAATCCCAAAGCAGTCAATAATCATACGCAATTCCTTACTAGAAAAATCCTTACATCCCAGATATAAATCTGGAGTATCTAGGGTCCCTGGCCACTACAGCATAACTTCTGCTGAACTAGAAGCCAAGGGAGCGTTTCACAGGAACACGGACACCTACATCGGGATAGTAATCCACGTTGGGTACCAAGTGCTGGATGAGGGCTTCCAGGGACCCGGAGAGGAGGTTGTTGTCATGGTAACACAAGCCGCCACAGCCGTCCTCCGCGGACTGATAGAGGTTCCGGTTGTAGCCACTGCCGTCAAACATCGCTGAGAAGGGAGGCGTCTGAGGCATGCTTTCCTAAAGCAAATCAAAAGGGGGAACACACAGGGTTAGTAATATGCAGTCGAAAGAAGAGGAAGCTTTAACAGGCACTGGGCCTCGACAGCAAGGCGGGAGCAGGCGGTTTCGGGAACCGTTGTTTCTGACACAGTATCAGAGCCCATCAACCAGCAAAGCGCCCTTGGAGCAACACGTACATGCACGCTTTTGAGTACCAATCTCATTCAGGCAAATACCACAAAACGCTCAGCTCAAAGGATCCAACCTGGGCTTAAACTCGAGTCCCTGGCTGCCACCTTCAGGCCTCAGTCCCTCCCATCTGGTCACTGCTTCACCACACTGCAGAGCGTACTATCCTAAGGAGCTACGTGTAAGCCTTCGAAGCCCACCGGGAGCGTTGCCTAGCATTTAAGAAATATCCCACCAGCAGCGGGCACAGGCTGGGAGATAACTGAAGTAAAAGCTGAAAAAGCGACACTGTCAAAGTGGCCTAGAATGAAAGTACACAGGGTGTGTGTTCACGGGTGTGAGCGGTATGGAGAGTCAGTGCTGACTCCTCAGCTGTCCCTGGAAGGTCCGGGGATGCCGCTGATTGTCACCCTTGTGTTAAATGCCATGGGGGTGCGGAGCTCTGCAGGGCCTCAGTCCTCAGCGCACAGGCGGACAGGGCAGGGGACTCGGGGAGCGCTGGGCCAGTCCCCTCCGCCTGCGCGCTCCGCAGCCCACAGCCTGGGGGCGGGGGCTCGGCAGGGGCCGGAGGCCATGAAGTTAATACTCGATTCCCAGGGCAGAGCTCCAGCCGAGAACAGCCCCTGGCACTGGCAGCGGGTCCGGACATGGGGCACTCAGGAGCTGCCCAGACCGAGGGCGGCAGAGATCACACAATGGGAGGAAGCCCAGCTCCAGCCCTGGCTGGTAGGGACAGGGCACGTGGAGGCTGCAGGACACCCTGGGCCAACCCTTCTTTTCAAGATGCCGAGGGTCACGTGCGCCCGCATGGGCAGGGGCGTGGCGCCCTGTCTGAGGGGACACACTCCTGCCCGCCGGGCCATCTGTCCCAGCTCCAGCCAGTGGGGCCCCAGCCTCACAGTGTGTGCAGGTGCCTGGCAGGAGGTGCCAGGGGCGTGGCACTGGGAAAAACACCCCCCATGATACGGCCAACCTGGCAGGTGGAAAGAGCATTTAGGAGCAGCAGCACCCGGAAAGAAATAGAGAAAAAGCTTCAGCCCTGTGTCCTCGATCCCACCCACACGCCGGTGCCCAGGGAGACGGCAAAGGGACACCTGAAAACCCGGCCACACGTGGGCGCCGAGCGGTCGCCGAGAGCCGCTGTCCGGGGAGACTGGTTAATGTCGGGGGCATCGCTGCTGTGCCTCTGCTCAGGCAGGACAAGGTCACGGCCAAAGGACCAGGAGCGACGGGGTGTAACCCTAACACAAATGCTCCGCGCTCCACCGGGGAGACCGCACACGCACCTCCCCGGGCGGCGCACGGAGTGTGTCTCTGCCCCCTTCCAGCCTGAGTCCCGTGACTATGAGCACGTGATCTTTGCAAACGGCTTGTCCTTGGTGGAAGGAAAAAAAAAAAAGAGTCTGTCTACCCTCGCCCGAAGAAACTCCTTAATCTGGGATGCGGGCCCTGAAAAGAGAAGCACCTAAAAGCTCCTTCTGAGCACCTGAAAGGGACACCCCGTCTGGCTCTGGATGGTGAGGACCACACAGCGGGCAGGTACGGGGCGGCGGGGCGGCTCACACGGTCACGCCCTGGGACGTTCTTCTTCTCTGCCAGGAACCATGAGACCTCCTCAGTCTCTCCACTCCCTCCGCACTGCTGAAACCATGCTTATAAAGTGCTTTGGGGACAGGGCTGACCAGGATTTGGGAATCTCAGAAAATGTTAAAAGTTCAAAAGGACCATACAAATCATCAGGTCCAGGATGGAAAACAGATTTCACTCCACTTTCTAACAGCAATCAAGCAGAAGCGGTTGCCCAGAGGCCTGAGGGTGAGCGAGGAGGCAGAGGCTGCCTAAGTCATTAGCAATGAGTACCGGGCGACCACGGAAGGCGCCAGAGCCCAGTGCTCCACCACACGGTCGTCTCCCCTTAGGCCTTCCCTGTCCTTAGCTGTCCTCTCCTCTGCTACGGGGTCCTGTGCGCTGGAAAAGGTCTGCATATCCCACCGTCCTGTACGCTCTGACCCCCCCCAGGGCCCCTCACCTGAGAGCACGGAGTGGAAGCTCTGAGAATGTCAGCAGGCCCCACCTGCGTAAGGTCTACCACCGACAGATGCCTCTTTGGACTCTACAACCACCCTGTTTGGTAGGAATTCCCTCTGTTTTAACTGCAGGAGAAGCTGAGGTTCAGAAAAACTGTAATAACTCGCCTGGGGTTATACATCAGATAAGGGACAGAAAGGGCAGGGCTTCTAACCTAGGTCTTCAGATGTCAAGTTCAAAATTTATTACACCACCTCACGTTCTAGCAAGTGGTCTTTGAACTTCTAATGTTTAATCATAAAATGAAAAGCCTGTCCCTAATTATAGGCTATTAGAAAAATTTACGTTTTACCTGTTCTACATAAATCCTTGCTCCAAAGATGTAGTAAGGCCATTAATTACTCTTTTTACAAAGCAATATTATCAACAAAAGTGTTTAAGCTACTGACTTTTGCAATCAAAACATAGTCCCGTCTAGATAAAGATTCAGTGATCCTAATACACATTTCTTTATATTTTAGTATCTTTGAAATTGGGTTGCACATAAATAGTCGAGTGACAAGAAAACATGTTCAAGTCTTTTTTTTAGCGATACATGCAATAAAAGAGCATTTTACAATGGATGGTATCTGAGGGTCAATGAAATACAGAAATATTTGCTTGTGTGTACTCTCTAGATTTCCAGTAAAGAATTTTAATGAGACAAATGACCAAAGGAAAGATCATGGGTCACAGTATTCAGCCCCCATTTCTGGATAATCTCCAGTAAGTGGCCTGCCTAGCCATTTTCTGGAAAGATCAGCTGCCTAGATGCATTTGGTAAACAAGAGGAAAGGTCAGAGAATGGTACAGAAGGTGCTGTTTGTGAAGTGTATTTTTAAATACCTAAGAAGTAAACACAGTACGTTTTTCTCTCCCAAGTATCACCCACATCAAGAACTGCTGTTGTTTAGTACGACTCAGATTTCACATCTACCTGCCCCGGTTCTGAAAGGGACAAGACTCAGATTAAATACTGGCTCCACTCCTGCTTAAGAAAACAAATACAAAGTCCAAGTACTGGACATGAGGATCCAGAGGACTGCTGCTTCCTTTTTTTCCCTCTCCATTTCAGGATAGGTCTGATTTCTTCTTATTTGTACCAAACTTCTTCACAGCTCTCACAATTAATATTTTTTGTCTCTGGGGCCCTGTGAACTATCAACACAGTCCTCACTACCCTTCCAACATAATCTTAAAATCAACTTCCCCACGGTTTCCCATGCTTCTTTACCACCGATTGTGTCCAATCCAACATACCTCACCATGAGGGCCTGCTCACCAAAGACTTTGCTTAGGAAAAATGGACTCTTTTCCCAAATCAGGACGTGTGACAGCGTGAAGTTAAATACTGGCATTAATTTGGCGGTTAAGTCAAACTTCAAAGTAGTTCATTCCTTTGGCAAAGCAGAGATTTATGGTAGACACTTGAACAAGCTGCCGACGTGATTCAAACCACTGCCAGTAAGATAAGGCAGATGGGGCAGGTTAACCTCCAAGTAATGCTCACCTTACTAAGTTTCATTTGCAAACCAGTTCCTGGAAACTCAGAATATATTGTCTTTGGCCAGTGGCTCTTAACTTCTTTTGGAAAATCACAAACCTCTCCCCCTGAGACACGCACATACTTTCATGGAGCTCAGACCCCAGATTAGGGTGCACACCTGTGGGCCTGCACAGCGCCTAGATGTGTGTCTACCCTGCCTCAAAGGAGGAGCACATCTCACACTTTCAAGACTCCTCCTTAGAAGTCAAGGGACACTGTATTTTCAGGGAGTACCGATCACATGGAGTCGAAGAGGATTATAAAGGGCATTCTTCTTGTTTGGGTAGAAATTTTTAAATAGGTATTTTCTCTCCCTTAAATTGGAGAGGTCCTTTGGGACAGAGAGGACGCAATGAGGCAATGGAAAACAGATTTGGGCTTTTTTAAACAATGAACCAGGCTAGAAGAAAGTTTAGCAACACCCAAATTAGCATGCAGACTACAGGTCCTGTGGGAGACTTCCCAAAGGGAAGTAACAGAGATAGCCAGCCCAGGTAGACAAGATGAATGTTCTTTTAAAAATCAATTTGGTAAGCTGGAAAGTTGGCTGACAGACCAGGTATCTTCCAGGGGCAGCTAATTCAGTCACAAAGATATATCATGTTCTTCCAAGGACCCTGCAAAAGTTGCGCCTGACATTGATCCAGCAGCAAGGAAGCAAGCGCCGGGTGATTTAAGGGATGAGTGGATCTGAAAGGCATGCCTAATGGTTTCAGACCAGCTAGGGCACCAGATGAAAAGCTGCCTTTTTCTCAGCAGCAGACTGCGTTTGAATGAGCGGCTGCTTTTGCACAACTTTATTTATGATGAGGCAGGTGCGCCAGGGAAAGGTGGTTTCAGGTGACAATTCGAATTGGAAAAGAGGTCGAGGAAAAGATGGGTGTGGGAATGAAATCAAAAGCTATCCCTCAACATCTGCTGCAGCTGCATTGTAAATCTCCCGGAATGTCAAGTCAGCGTTTCCCTTTACCCTCAAGTGAATGAGACAGAAGAGGTAGGAGTCAAGGGGCAAAGGAAGTGTTTTTTCAAATACTTAATAAATCCAATGCCTTTACATTGATCACTACCTTTTAGCTTCTGTTCAAATGCTGAGCACAGGTCCCAATTCTAAAAGAACAAACAAAAAATGACTGAGGCGGAGGAAGGGCTCCCTATCACAGCTGAACTTTGAAAGCATATTTGTTTAGCGAGGAGAGGCTTAATTTAATATCTTCGAATTACTGGTTCCCCCAATATCCACCTAGGTTCCAAAGGAACTTTGCACTTGAGTTAAATCTTCCTATTTTCATGCGAGGTTCCAGAGATCTGAATGAGAAAGAGTTCATGTATTTCAGCTTTACTCCAGCTGTTATCTCACTGGCACTGCTGGATCTCAGAACACAAGGATTCCTGCGAGTTCATAGTGTACCTAACTACGACGTGAGCCAGGGTG